ACACACACACACACAAAACAGGAGGAAATTAAAATATGAAACACATTTAATAAAATCGTGGTTGTTAATATTTATCTGTGTTGTTACATTTGTTTCAGGCAGAATAGGACTATGGTAAATGTAGTTCGATGAAGAATATGAATGGCAAATGTTTATTTATTTGCCTACTGCTGGGGTGGAGAGTTATTTTGTACAGCATCAACAACATTTTCATGTGGCTTTATCCACCCCTCCCTTCCTCTTTCTTTCCATTCATCGCTCCCTCGTGGCCTTCCTCTTTCCTGGAACCAGTAAAACCAGTACAGGTAGGGAAGGAGACAAAAGGAGGGGAAGACTGAAAGAAAGGGAGGGAAATTAGGAAGGAGGGAGCGAGGAAGAGAGAAACAGAGCAGCCGCGGGCAAAGGAAGATTAGAAAAAGGTGAGATGAAAAAAAACTGTTAGGTGGGTTCAGAGCCATGGGAGAGGTGGACAAACAAAGAGCTGACAGAGAAACCACCTGCCCTCAGCCACCACATGACTAGCCACCTCTTTAATTAATTAACCCACATTAACTCTCACCCTGCATCGCTGATCCATCTTTGATTCTATATCTAGATCGGTTTACAAAATTACTCCCGAACTGTGTACTTAATTATTATATTAAAACAACCGTTACAGTGCCCTGAAGCACTAAACCATCAAACTGTGCCAAACATTTTCATTATGTAGGACCATAATCCTGATGGTTATTGTTGTATATAAACCACTGATATGTCACTGATGTGACTCCACCTGCATTTTAACCCACCCTGTACCTTATCAGCAGGCACACTGAGCGGCTGTGCTCAGACATGCAAAACTAAACAGACACAAATGCACTTCCTGGGAGAGACTGGGTGGTACAGTAAGCTGCTGTGTTTGGGTGTGTGTGTGTGTTACCTGGACAGCACAGCCTAGTATCAGCAACAAAAGTCTTTTCATATCCTCCATGCTCTTAGCTGCAGAAAACAAAACAGAGAGACACTGAAGAGCATATATATATAGAGAGAGAATATACCTTTTAACACTTTTTGCAGCAGAGTTTACAAAACACTTCAAATGCAAGAAATCTTGATACAGCTGAACAAAAGGAGAAAGAAATAATCCATATTGAGTCTGTTTCACACCTCAGGCAGTGTTACAGTAAACTATGCTACAGATAACTTTCCAATGCTGACTACAGACTCTATTGTTATCCAATACAAACAAATACAAACCACAATTTAACAGCACAGTTATTAAGTCTGCAAAGACACAGCCAATGTCAACAGATCTGTGCACTACTGCCACAATTTTCTCAAAGCAGACTTTGTATTATTATTGTTCATACAATTGCACACAGACACTGTACAGTTCTCTTAGTTTGGTTTTCTATTAAGGTAAGAAGGATGTCATTTTAACTTCACCAAATTATAACACCAAGATACCTGAAAATTCAGGAGGATGGGAATAGTTGTCCACAAATGACTCTTCATGCTTACAACAAGCCTAACAAGACATCTTTAACCTGCCAGATTCAGTATAATAGACTTTATGACTAAGATTCAGAGCAGATCAGCCACTTGGATTGATGTTGTTGCTGTCATTGCTAACAGCCAACCACGCATTTCTTTTTTGACCTTTATCTAAACAGGAAAACTTCATTAAGGTTAGAAATTGTATCTGCAGATGAGTACATGTGAGACTATATAAAGAACGTGTTCTGAGATCAATAAAAATATATCATCATTAATTTTCTTTTAATGGCCATCTTGTAACTTCACTACATATAAAAGTTCAAAACTATTAAGCAGTAAATCAATAAAGCATCTAATCACCTCATCATGATTTATGTGCCTTATATGAATCATAACATCAGCAGCAAAAAGAAACTTCCTCCAGTTCCTGCAGTGATCATTTAAATTCTCCAACAGACAAGTTTTAAAATGAGCTCACGGTAGCAGAATCCAAGTAGAAGAAGAAACATATTTTTTTCTTTACCAAATTCAGTGCAGGCCAGGGAAACTGAACAGGATTAAATCATGGGATCAAAGGGAATGTAATTACATAAATAGGATGGTAGCAATCCAAACAAAACGTTAAGGAGGACCATGCCAGTATACTGTATGGTCATGATACAATATGTCAATACGTTAAAGCACAGACAAGAAGGTAGTAGTAGTAAATATGTAGGACTTAGACAGTAATAGCCCAGGGTGTATGATGTGTGGCAGCGTGTGTTACCTGATATGGGATCCTTGGCGATGCAGAGGATGTTAGGAAGGGGCATGACTACTAACTGCTGTAAGGTCTCCTGCAGTGGAGAAGAGGAGGTCGGGGGGTTTGTGGGGCAAAGAGAGAGAAAGAACAAATACATGTTTTAATTTTATGGTCATAATGACAACTGTGAAAAAGGCAAGTGTTACTGATAAACACTGCAGGAGCACAAGACACTGTCCATCAACTGGGGGCAACAAAAGCATTAAGGTGACACTGATAACAATAATAAAAATCTCATAACAATTTAAGCACTAATATTTGTCTTTTAACATAATCACATCAACATTTTCAGTAAGGATCCCTTAAGTTTGGTTATCAAAGAATTGTCAACCATTTATGTACTGAGCAGGACAACTTGTCAGTGCTCTCTGGCTGGCCTGGGAAACAGCAAACAACCTCTAACATATCGTTGCTTGTTGGCCAATTTATACGCCTAAAAATCAGCTGATAATATAAGTCATGCCAATGCATTTGCTGGACTCTAAATAGTCACTTAAATTGTATTTTTTCCTTTTCAAACAGGGCAAAATAAGACATCAGATATATCACATGACAATGTAAAAGCTGAGAGATAGGACACATGGAATAGAAACATGATTACACAATTATCTGGCTAAACAGTAGACAAAACAGAGACTCATTCAAATTTAAATTAATAGAAGATAAATAACTTAATTGGTAGAAGGAGCACACAGAGAAAATAGTTCACTGGCAGAAGTGGAGGTTATATATATAATTACATTTCACAGGTCTAGATGATTCTTAGGGATTTGAGCTGAAATGTTAACATATATGCAGAGTTCTCAGGGTCCTCTCATCTGCCCACATAGCAAAATATTTCTCTAACTGTTTGGCGAGGCTAGAAGATGAAAATGTGCATGATATCACGAAAAAAAATTCTCTGACATTTACATAACGGTTTCTGTCATTTTGATTGCAGGTAGATGATTCCTAAGCTGCATCCTGTAGCACAAAAGATTTATGTATGTATGTTTCAAAAATGCCACCTACAGAAACTCATAATAATGAGCACAGAAGAGGACAAGTATTTTAACTAGTAGTTGCTCCTCTAACAGCAGCTTGTTTACTGTGGTGTGGAAGCAGAGCCGACAGTATCTGCCCACATGTTCTTGTTTTTCAAAACACATTTTATAGAAATGAATCAAAGTCCAGCCACCTACTGACCCAGACTTGTGTGCCTACATGTTTGCATGCGTATATAGGCGAGGAGCCAACAGGAAACACCCTGCTGTCGACAAAGAATCTGTGTGTGTGAGTCAGGAAAGAAACAGCCCACTAGGAGGGAATGCTTTCCATTCCAGAATATCCTCTCCTGTCTCCTAAAACACACCTGACTGTCCAGACGGACAAAGAACAACAAATAATAGCATTTAAATATTTTCTTCTGAACTCTAATGAATCAAAAGCAAACACAGAGACCAGTGCATCCAGAGAGAGGGAGGAGCAGTGTCTTCATCAAAACCTGTAATTTGTCTAAAGCATGTTGTTTTGAGATGAGGAAATATGACAGGGGAATAAGGTCACATAGGAAGACATTAGGTTTACAGAAGGACACATGGGAGGAGACATGTTGATGACCCCTGGCTAAGGAGAAGGGAAATGTGCTAATGGAAGTGTGTGTGTGTGTGTGTGTGTGTTTTAGATCTGGGTGTTTCGGGATGAGGGAAGTGACTGTCAGCAGGGAAGGGCTGGCTGGAATAATACAATCAAAAACACAGCACACACCTGCACACAGTCTCACACAAACTATAGAGATCAAAATGTACACGTGAGGTGCTGCTGTTTCCATAGTGAACACGGACTGGAAAAACCCATTCACCTTTCTTATATATTTGGTCACTGTCACAACTTAAAGACATATGGGGTCTGGTGTAGAGTGTCACCTGCTTACACCACAGCTCCAACTGAGCTGCACAGACAGCTCTGAGGTACTCGCTGTAGAGGTAGTGCAATACCTGCAGATAATGTTACACTGGCCTATACACCAGGAGGTAACCAGAGACCCAACCCGTCTCTCTCTCTCTCTGTCTGTCTTACACACACACTGTACAGTGTGAATAAAACATGTGAGCTGGCTACCAGATGTCTTTAAGGCACAGCAGGAATACAGCAGTAACGCACTGTCAGTCTGGAAGCTGTGCCAAGAAGTTTCTGTTTGTTTCGTCAAGACACATACGGAAGCTTAATATAACACAATATATAGTACATAGTTATAACAATAAAAGTTTCTTGCTATAACGTGTAGCTATAACTTTTTATGTTGTAATAACATGCAATATCTTTTTTACAACATGAAAAACATCTTGTTATAACTTCTGTTGAGGCAGCAATATGCTGCCGTACAGATGAGGTCAATGACCATTAATTAAACACTAAAAATACTACATCAGTGAGCAAGTAAGAGGAAATTTTCCATCACTACGATTGACTGATACTGATTTATTCAACCAGAATATAAAATTGAATGAAAAAACAGCTTTGCTCTTCTTAGATTCTTACCACTAGCTAGCAGAAATCCTAATGTGTGGCCCAAACATCACACTGAGGACACCAGCGATAATGCCATATTGTTATGTGAAGAATCCATTTTAGGATAACTCAGACTCAGCCTGTCAGACTCAGCTCTACACTGTCAGACCTGGCTCAACCTTTATCAATCTAAGCTACACTAAACACAGCATAACTGACTTAGGCTGCCTTGAGCTTAGCATGAAAACTAGTCTTAACATTAGCATTATAACAGACTAAGTGTGAGCAGATAACACTTTGGAATAGTCTAAAGATTGTCTGTGCTTTGACAATGCACATACTGTTGAATAAGCTATGAGAGCTTACAGCATCGTCAGAGTGTTTGTGTGGCTCTGACGACTTTGTCAGCAGAGCCTACACAGCAGGAGGGCAGTGTGGAACACAGATGCTGTATGTGCTGTTACAAAGATGGCTCCCCGAGGAATGACATACCACTCAGAAGCTGGCCACAAGGTCGCTGGGTGCACAGGATGTTCGCTTGTTCTTAATAGTGGTCGAGACCACTCGTAAAAGACAAAAAATGGCAGTGTCTTCCCAGGGGATCATCTTTGACTGTTACATGATATCACCCTCAGCTCAATGCTGCTCTCCCCTCATAGGAGTTGTAGTGACCACAATTTAAAAACACTATGGAGCACACTAATAGCCTTTCTAAATTAACTTTCTAATACACTTTGAATCAGATACCAGTGATGGGTCAGTGTTATAAATAAATATAAAATCACTACAAACTCATGTAATGACTGTATACCCTTATCAAAGGGTAGACTGAGTAACAAACCACGGTATGGCTTATGTATCACATATTGGAAGAATAGATGTGTCAGTATAGCAGTTTGACTACATAAAGAGGTGAAAGACTCTGATGTTAACAACACCAGAGGGAACTGTGAACACAGCACAGCTCAGCTAAATGGTTTTCTTAATAAACCATGCAGAAGCGCCTTTCCATTGGTCAAAGAGAGACAAAGCACGAGCAGCAAACCAGAATAAGAGCCCAATATAACTGCCGGTCCATTACTATTACATTATAAAGTTATGCCTTTTAACTATTAACACCCAGCATGTAATCCTTACTTAACATTCTTTAAGACTTGAGTGGTCAATGGCCAAATATTAACACTCAAAAGAAATCAGAACATGTAGGAAGACATGAATGAGTGCAAAGACAAACATCACTGTGCTGCATTTAAAGTCATTTTAGGTCAACTGTCTTAAACTTTTAAAAACTTTTTAGTTATGATGTTATTGTCCACAATAGTTGTAGCATGAATTTTTAATACCAGAGAAAAGGGCTCTATTACATGCAAGCTGATTTAGAGCTCTGTGGTGTGTTTCAATTGGTGTTTCCATTCGTAAACAAAGATAATGGCTTTAATGCCGCAGTTAAGGTCAGTGCTAACTAGCTGGTTGTTTATTATAGATGAGACAGATAGACTTACACTCTGCTCTCTGGTTAATACCACCTGCACCTGCGTTATAAATATAACTGTGGTGTAGATTCTGTTTGACACTATGTCAGTGTACACACATTAAAAACAAAGACGGAGTAAGGTCAATGTCAATGTCTAATCCAAATGCACTCTCTTTCTGACTTTCGCTGTGTGTGTTTGTGTGTGTGTGTACTAGTGATAGCTCAGATCTATAGAGATTCTCCTGCAGCAACATCACCAGCAGGATCTAACACTTAAAACTGACAAGGGATCAATAAAGCCTGCTGCATGACCCATTTAGAGACACACACACACACACCACACACACACACAACAACACACACACACACACACACACACACCAACACACGCCTAAATCCATGGCCCAACTAACACACCTGGTCCACATTTCTAATCCAAGATCAAACTAAAATGTGGGCGGCTCACAGCCGACCTCTCTGACTTTGATCTCAGCCTGCTAGGTTCTGTGTTCCACAACGTTTCTCACACTTTAAAGGTTCAAATCAAAGCCTCGCCCTCTCCTCCACAATGAGCTCCTGCTACTAGCTCCTTTTGGTAAATGGAGCTCAACATAAAATATCTCAGTGGGCTTTACGGGCCAACATCAGCAGTGTTTCCTGACAAATCCAGGGTCTCTTTGTATTGGGATGTAAAAAACAACTTAACAGGATTTTTAATGTAACAGTGCACCAAAGGATAAAAGCTAAAGGAAGATTTCAAAAAAGACTTTGTGAAGTTAATAAAGAAACAGAGTAATGCCCAAAAATAATCATACATTAATGAAAAAGCACTTCGGCAAAGGCTACAAAATCCACTGAGTATGTTAAAAATAGTATCGTAATAAGTAAAGTAGTTTTTAACCTGAATCTAGATCCATAGTGGTGATACATGAACAATGCGGATGGCTTTTCTTGAAATATGAAAGGGTCAAAATAATATGTGGATCAGACTCATTTAGATGTATTTACACTTATTGCCACAGTGTCACTTGTGGTTGAAATGCTATCACATTTTACAAGATCACTCTGCT